AGGTAGGTGCTCTACCCACGTGAGTCACTCCCTCAGCCCCCAAAATATACTATTATCGAGTGAAAATACACACAAAAAATTGAAAACAGCTGGGTGCCAGTGGCTCACACCTATAGCCCTAGCTACTTGGAGACGCAGAAATCAGGAGGATCTAGGTTTGAAGCCAGCCTGGGCAAATAGTTTGTGAGACCCTGTCACCAAAAAGGGCTGGTGGAGTGGCTCAAAGTGAAGGCCCTGAGAGTTCAAACCCCAGTACTGCAAAAATAAAAATTAAAATTGAAAACATAATTTTGCAACATATCCAACAAAAATATACTTGTAAAGAGTTGCAGTATGTCATTAAGTAACCCAGTAGAATAAGCAACGTTTATAAAAAGAGAATTCTTGGGCCTGGGTCATGGCTCAAGTGGTAGAGCACTGCCTAACAAGCAGGTTCGAACTAGAGTTCAAACCCTAGTATTGTCAAGAAAAAAGGACATTTAAAAAAAACAAAAAATGGCCAATAAACTATAATATTCAATCTGATTTATAATCTAAAAATGCATCCTCTGAACATTCCCACAATATTCAAAGGTGTTTAAAAAATTTACTGTTGCATTATCAGCAAAATATTGTAAATACTGTAAACAATATTGAAAAAGTAGTAGAATACTGTTCAGCCATTGAGAAGAATAATTAGATTGCAAATACTAACATAGAAAGTACAGTATTAAACTGGGCACCAGTGACTCACGCCTGTAATCCTAGCTGCTCAGGAGGCAACTATTGCAAATAGCTCGGAAAACCCTATCTTGAAAAACGCATCACAAAAAAAAGCTGGTGAAGTGGCTCAAGGTGAAGGCCCTGAGTTCAAAAAAAAAAAAAAAAAGGGGGGAAGCAAACCTTTCAGCTTGATCTAATCTTACAGCTTCATTCTATTGCCCTTTTCCCATTTAGTGTTTTAGAAGACCAAAAGGAGTAGAAAAAAAATCCTGTGTTTAGACAGCTGTCACTCTCTCCCCACACTCCAATATAAACATTCTAGCTAGATTCCTGGTAATTTACAACGTGGCCCAACACCTCTTATTTACTAAGAATATAAAGTAGCTCTGTAATAAAGAACTATTTATAAATACTTCCCTTTAACAAAAGAATTTAATCTTAAACATTTTGAAGTCAATTTATATAATTAGTCAAATGACTATTATATTAGTCTATTAAATTAGAGGAACAAGAATTTTTCCTAAATCCTGAAAAATCAAAACAAAAACACAGGTATGTGAAAATATACAGGGCTTGCTGAAACTGAGTCATGCCTTCCAACCTACTTGGGCACTAAAAACTGTGAGAATGGCCTTGTTGATTTTGCCTACTTGCTAGTAATCTGCAAACTGCAAGACCGAAACCTCAAATGATTCCAGCAGAACACTTGAGAAATAAAAAAATCAACTAGGAGCAAGTCTCTGGTCACTAGAAAGTATTCAGTTTTTTATCCACTCGAGGAAATGCAGTGTTTTTTGAAAAAGAAGAAATAAGTCTTTGTACTCTACTAGAAAGGGCAGTGCCTTCTTTCCACTTACCTACTGAAGATGACAAAGAGGTGGCCTTGTTGTAGCAACCTGTGCTACACTTGACATTCTTTTAACCCGAGGCAGATTATAAACAGTTCTCCACATGCACGGTGCGTCCTGAGTACAAGTGTTTGGTTATTACCTCACCTCCCCCACACCTGGAGACTGTCACGGCACTGACAAGCCCAACATTCTTCTCCTAATAATCAAATACAGCAAACAGAACGCATTTAAAAATTGAGCAACGGGCATCCTGTGCTTAGGCCCTTCCATTTATAAATTATCTTCTCAATTTGATAAAAAAATAAAAATCTCTTGGGGCCAGAAGAGGTGGTATACAGCTCTAATCCCAGCATTCAGGAGGTGAAGGCAGAAGGATTTCAAGTTCAAAGCCATGCCTACATGGAAAATTCTCAGAAAAAAAAAAAAATCTTGTGAAGTGCCAGTGGCTCACACCTGTAATCCAAAGTACTCTGGAGGCAGAGTTCAGGAGGATTGCAGTTCGAAACCAGCCCAGGCAAATAAGTCTTGAAACCCTTTCTCAAAAAACCAAGACTGTATGAGTGGTTCAAGTGGGAAAGTACCTGCCTAGTAAGTGTGAGGTCCTGAGTTCAAACCCCATACTGCCAAAAATAAGGTCTTTCGGTGGGGAGTGATTTCACATGGGTAATTTTTTTTTTTTTTTGAATTGACTCCCACTATGTATCCCAGGCTGGCCTCAAACTTGCAATAGTCCTCTTCAGCCTCCTGAGTGGTGGGATTACAGGTGTCATGATGCCCAGCTAGCTCCCAATGGAAAATCTTGAGCAGATCCATTTTTCTACTAAATTCAAACCTCACAGCAAAGCAATCTAGAGTTCTTAGCATCAATGAACAAGTTTTTACCAGCCTACATTTCTCTAGGGCCCAGCTGTTATATTCACGCCATTTCCTGAACATTTTAGGGTGAATTTTGTCTATGGGATCCTCCTACCCCTACTTTAGGAATTGCTCAAGTATTCTGTTTCCTGCAATCTTCAATTCCTTCCAAATGAATATTAAACCAGTGCCCTGGTAGTCTGCAGGCAGTCGTCCTCTCTAGATGATTCTCCACCCCCCATGACCATCTCTTTCCTCTCATTAAGGGTAAGTAGCCTACACTGGCCTTAAACTCTTGATCCTCCTGTCTCAGCCTCCTCAGATTACAGGTGTAGAACACCACACCCAGCTCATTAGGTCTTTTTATTACTCAAAGCACATAGAACACTTAACACAAGCATGCCCTCAAGAAGGAATTGAACAAATGAAATAGAAGCCTATTTTTTGAGAAACCAATGCCTTTATAGTAAATGTGAAATGACATAACATACAAAAATGCTTTAACCTGATTCTGGCATACCCCAGCACTCAAGTGCTCCATCACTTCATGCCCACCTCCTTTTGCTTATTTTTCAGATAGGGTCTCATGCTTTTGCCCGGGGCCTCAGACTGATCCTCGTACCCTTAGTAGCTGGGATTACAGATGTGAACCACCATGCCTGGTTTGTTTTGAGATAAATCTGGCTAATTTTTTGCTCAGGGTGGTCTGGAACTGTGATCCTAACTCTGCCATCAAAGTAGCTGGGATTACAGGAATGACCACTCCATCTGGTCCCAATGCAATAATTAAAAGGGGCAATTAAACAATTACTCCTATGATTTAGGGAATGGTCAAATCTTTAATTGAAGATTGCTTTTTTTTTTTTTTTTTTTTTTCTCAAGACAGTGTTCTGCTACATAGCCCAGGCTGGCTTTGAATTTGTGATTCTCCTGCCTAGGCCTCCCAAGTGCTGGGATTACAGGTGAACACCTGACTTGAAGACTGGCCTTTCAAGAAACACATCTTGCCAGGTGTGGGAGCCAATTCTGTAATCTCAGCACCTGGGAGGCTGGGCAGGTAAATCACAAGTTTGGGGCCGCTGGGTTGTTGTAAGTCCTTTCACCTGTCTATGCTCCCTGACTTTATTTTCACATGGTGGTGTGAGCCCAATGGAAACTGAGGAAGCTAGCAGAGTAAAAGTGCTGTGAACTCTGTGAAGGATCGCTTTACTATGCATTTAAACTCAGAGGGAAAAAAAAGTTTTATTCTAGCACACGCTATGAGGGCCTTAAAATTAATTCATCCTTTAGTGTAATACTTCCTTCCCTTTATTATTTATAGAGAAGTAATTTTGATTACTCAAGTTCTCAAAAATGGAAAGTAAATACACAATGGTTCTACTTTGCTCCCTCTGCTGGCCTGGGAGCAGGCTAGCACTATCTGAGACTCCTAAATCAGTTATCTAAATGTTTACTTTGGTGGACTTGACCAAGTAGAAAGACATAGTAACATTCTGCATAAAGAAAAAAAAACCACAGGTTAGCTCTATCTTAAACAGCTGACAATTGAAAGCAATTTGGCAATGTGGACTTTTATTTTTTAACTATTATCTGGTTCAAATCCAGAGTATTATTTTTGTACAAAGGCTAGCTGCCCTCCATTTTTTTCACAATAATACTTTAAAGCTAAAATCAGCTGAAAACACCCAAATTTGAATTTCTTTCTTTTTGTTTTGTGGTACGGAGTTTGAACTCAGGGTCTACACCTTAAGTCACTCCACCAAGGTGTGGAGTTTTTTTCAAAATAGGGTCTCACAGAACTATTTGCCAGGGCTGGCTTCAAACTATGATCCTTTGATCTCTGCTCCTGAGTAGCTAAGATTACAGGCGTGAGCACTGGCAACCTGGCTTGAAATTTCTTGTTTCCTTTGCTACCACTAATTTTTGGCAATCACATAATTTTTTTTTCAAACTTAAAAGGTAATAATTTAACTGTAATCACTTTTTATATCAAAGCCTTAGATTATATTATGAAAACTAATTTATTAAACCTCTGTACACAAAGGTGAACATACCTGTAGAGTAAGCTTATATGAAGAACGAAGTTACAAAAAAAGTAAAAGTGTTATTAATTAAAAATTGGCATGTGGTAAATCTTACAAAAATCCCCAAGGTGGGATAGGGCTGCTCATCGCCTGATTTTGCTCATTTGGTTGTCGGAGATGAAATACGAATTTAAAATGGTTAGAATTTTTTCTTTTAAAAAGTGACATATGAAACTTATATACAGAATAATTAGCAAATGTAGAAAGGGAAAACAATGTACAAAAGACAGATAAAAACATCACTCTTTACAGACATTCACAATCCAAAAGTAGTATATAACCTTAACAAACCTTCTTCTAAATCAGCTCATCTACACCCGCTCAGGTCTGTGTCGGTGAGAATAAAATGCAGCATTCATTAAAAACAGGCTTGACTTGAGACCAACGGGAGAGCCAGGTAGGAAAACAATTTTTCTGTCCTTACTAGTACTGATTAACAGAACACAAAGTTTAGACCATTAAATAGCTCTCCAGTGTTATGTCAAGCAGCTATTCGGAAGCCTTTTGTTTCTCTGCTGATTTCGGGAGAAGTTCTTTAACAAGCTTCTTATTCTGATGTACATTCCAGTGGATTCTGCCATGTTCTCAAACTCAAAATGGTGTTATTCCAGTTGCAAACTTGCTCACATCAGGTATGAGACTGTGAGCTTTAGTGGCTGCTGAAGGACGAGTGTCTCCAGAAGGGAGCGTCTGGCTGCCTCCATTCCTGATGTCACAGTCTGACACTCCTTTGCCATTATTGTGAAGGGCACCATCAGGGTCCACCTCTGCAGATTCTTCCTCCTCCTTCTGACCAAGCAGTGTGGCCTCAGGAGCTGGGCTCGAGGGATGGCCAACTTCGGCTGTCTGTGTACATATGTCTGGCACCATGGGCTCATCTAGTATCAGTTTCTCAGATGCTTTTCCCTCTGTGAAAGGGAGGTCGAGCTCATTGGGACAAGGTGATGAGGCAACTGAGTTTCCAGTTAAAGGTGTGTCCACAGGAACGTCAGAATCACTGTTGGCACTCTCAGCCTGCTCGAGTGCTGCCCAGATCCGCCTCTGTTGCTCTTCAAGTTCCTCCAGTGTCAGGGCGTCCTCGTCCATGGCTGCGGATGCAGGCCGGGTCTGAGGTGAGTCACTGGGAGTCAGTGGTGGAGTGCCCTTGGGGAGTGGAGGGGTGAAGAGAGGAGGAGTGCCAGGAGGCAATGGTGGTTGAAAGTGAAAAGCTTCACTGCTCTGAGAACCATGCGGCATCTCTGCATCTGCAACAAGAGTTAAAAAACAGTTTTACAAAATCTGGCTTTACAAAAATTTATTTTCTAGACTCAGGATTATCCAGAGATTCAATGACCAAAAACAACTGGTTTTGAAAAGGGGAAAAGTGTGTGTTCTCAAATGCCATGACCGTGACCTCCCGTCCTCCATCCACCTAAGAACATCTTGTGCAAGGAGAGCTGAAGGGTCTTCTGGTGCTCAGAACTTGAACGAAATCCTCTGAGCAAGCTGTTCCCACACCATGTGCACGGTTTCAGATGGCGGCAACATGAACATGGAGCTGGGGAGTGGTTTCAAGGGAGGGTGCTATCACTGAAGGTAGGGTTCCTGGCAGGCACACTAGGAACTTTGGAAGAGCAGGTGGGCCACTGAGTGGGGAAGGCTGAAGGACAGGACGTGAGGATGGAGTAGGAAGACCCCTGAGGTCTTTCCCATTTCTGTATCTCTATTCTAGACTGCTTGCTCACCTGTCTAACCTTACTGTTATCACCACTTATGTGTCCTGTCCGGCAGACACAAGCTGTCTATAACGAAGTTTTGAACTCTGGACTTTCTATCCTATCTGCTAACAGCGCCACTACTGCTTGAATGCATCTCCCAGATGGAGCCTCCCTTTTACTGGAGAGTCCTCTCTTTCCTTGCCCCACTCCAGGCCCTGAGCTGTCTGGGGTCTACTTTCATGTACACTGCCACAGGCACCACCTAATTTCAGGCCATTACCATTGCCAAGAATACTGGAGTCATCCTTTCTTCTGGATGAGTCTTCCTTGTACGTGTCCTCCTAACTAGCCAGATTCATCTTTCTAAAACACCAATCTGGCCTATCAACCTTCCCATGTAACTAACAGTTTTTCTGCTTCCACCCAATGACTCTCACCTGGCAGTCATGCTGTTGTTGGTGCATTTTTCCACCATCTCAAATGCCTGCTCTGACCCTGCTGTCTTCCTGGAAAATACCTGATTCATCCCTCAAAATCTACCTCAAGCCAGGCATGGCAGGCCACACCTGTGATCTTAGCTACTCGGCAGGGGGACTGCAAGTTTGAGAATAGTCCAGGCAAAATCAGTGAATCCTAGCTCAAAACAAAATTAAAATGACAAGGGCTGAGGATAAGACTCAAGAAGTAGAGCACTGCCTACCTGGCTCTAAGAATAGGGCTTTATCTTATTGACTTAGCGTACAGATTCCTCCTGCTTTCTCACGAAAGCAAAGCCACATAACAGGACCTACCAGAGTCAAGATCCATGCAGCAGGGAGGCTGCCGAGCTGCTGGCCTTCCTTTGCTTCTTTGGACTACTGGGGCTGGACTGAGATGAAGGCGTTTTACTGCTAGACTTTATGCTTGCCTAAAGGAGTAACCAAATCAAACGCAAGTTACACGGAACAAACAGAATTCAACTCCAACTGCACTTAACTGAAATATGATATAACTGGCCTAGCATGCAGGAAGCCCTGGGCTTAATCCTCAGACCATAAAAAAAGTTAAATATGATGTAGAAGACCAGTCTAGAGCCATGTCAGGGTAACTGGTGAATTCAGCTCCTATTTGTCTTTTGATTCACCAGGTAACAGTGTCTTAGACACAAAGCAAGAAAGAGCAGTAATCCAGGCACTGGTGGCTCACACCTGCAATCCTAGCTACTCAAGAGGCAAAGGTTCAAGGGGGTCAAGGTTTGAATCCAGCAGGGGCAAATAGTTCAAGAGACCTATCTTGTTCCTTCATAAAAAAAATAGAGCTGGTAGAGGGGCTCAAGCTGAAGGCCATGGGTTCAAGCCCAGGTACTGCCAAAAAAAAAAAAAAAAAAAAACATAGCTAACACAAAAACGGGCTGGTGGGTGGCTCAAGTGGTAGAGCACCTGCCTAGCAAGTAAGAGGCTCCAAGTTCAGACCCGTACACCAAAAACAATAAATAAATAAATAAAAATAAGGGTAGTAAGATGCTAATGAGTTGTAAAAATCTCACAGCTATCTGCCATAAACATGTATTAATCACACCCTCAAAATCTACTTACTGACTGGAAGTTAGAAGAAAGGTAATTGGCAACACATCCTTCTGCTGACATGCTGCATAGGTATGGAACCAAACATCCCCATTCCTGACAACGGAAAGATAAATGTGTATTGGGAAATAACACCTTTCGAGATTTTTCTCAGAGAGATGGGGTGGGAATTCAAACTACATTTTTGCTTCTTACATGACTTTTCCTGTAGTGGAAAATAACTAGTGTTGAAGGAAAATAATGAAGAAAAAACTCTGCTTGCAAATGATGAGGACTGAATACTGAAAAACTACTTGATGAAAATCACTTGGCCCAAAAAGGTTCTGTCTGTTGTGGGAAGTTGTAGGACTGATGTGGCCTCCCATGGGCCTCCCAGGTGCTTATCTGTCTTTCACCATGCACTGTTCTAACGAACTGCTCATTGCTCACTCTCCTCATGTAACCAAATTTCTGGTCCTCCGTCCTTTCCCTTTCTCAATGGAGTAGTGTATCTTTAAGGTTCAACAATGCTGTTTTCTTGCTCATCTCCAATAGCGCACTGATCACTGGTTGTACATTGCCTTCTGTGAATTCATCACTTAATTTCTGTTCACTAGACTCTTCACTCAAATCTATGGCTTCATTCACTGCTCAGTTCGTAGGACACTAGCAACGCAGCTTTTATGAAAACACACATAATGTAGTTAACTGTTCAATCTGGAAACTTTAAGTAAGATGAAAGTTGCACTGGGTCCTGTGGCTTATGCCTGTAATCCTAGGTACTTGGGAGGTGAGATCAGGATGATAGAAGTTCGAGGCCAGCCTAGGCAAACAGTTTGAGACCCCTATCTCCAAAATAACCAGAGCAAAATAGACTTGAGATGTGGCTCAAGTAGTAGAGAGTTGCTTTGCAAGTACGAAACTCTGATTCAAAATCCAGTGCCAGCTGGGCGCTAGTGGCTCACACCTATAATTCCAGCTACCCAGGAGGCGGATTGGAGATCAATGGTTCAAACCCAGTCTGGGCAAATAGTTTGCTAGACCGCTACCCTGAAAAAAATCCATCACAAAAAAAGGGTTGGCAGAGTGGCTCAATGGTAAGAGTGCCTGCCCTAGCAAGTATGAGGCCCTGAGTATGAGCCCCAGTGCTGGCCAAAAAAACCAACCAAACAAAAACAAACAAACCCAAAACCAGTGCCAAAAACAAAACAAAAGTAGTATAACTTAGTTCTATGCCAGATGTTGGCAAATAATTCTCAAGACCCTATCTTCGAAAAAACAGTAAAAAAACCGCTGGTGGAGTGGTTCAAGGTTCAAACGCCAGTATCACAAAACAAAAAACAAAAACAAACAACAAAAAAACTATAGTCTATTACAGACAGAAATTTATTCTCAAGGACATGTATAATTTATAATATTGGCATCAGACTCATCCATATTAAAATAAAATTATAACCTGGGAGTGGTGGCTCATGCCTACATCTCAGCACTCATGAGGCTGTAGGTTGTGAGTTTGAGGCCAGTCTGTGCTGCAGAGTGAATCTGAGGTTTAGGCTGGGCACCAGCACAATCATGCCTCAAAGATCAAAACAAAATTAAAAACAACCAAGCCAAAAACAAAACCCACCTTCCCCCAAAAAAGAAAAACTTCCAGTTTTAGATTTACAGAACCTAACCAATCTATTTCACCCTTTGCTTAGGCATTAACTCAGGAAAAAAATGCTTATGAGGAATATGATATTTCACTTTGGATTCCAGTCCAGAGCTGGAGGAGGATATAATGGTGAATCCTTGCCTAGGAACCACAAGGCCCTGAGTCAAACTGCAGAGTCTTGTCAGTAAGAGGGAAGTGAGGGCTGGGATGCAGCTTCAGCGGTAGAACCCTGGGTTCAATCTCCAGCATTGCCATAACAACAAAAGGAAATTAAAA